GGGCAGATCCAGTCCCCAGCATCCAGCTGCTCCCCCTGAGGACAAATATCCTGAGGTTCTCCTGCTCCCTCCTCCCAGAGAGCCTGGTTCCTTCGGGATTCAGGATAGAGGAACAGGAACTCCCAGGTGACTCCGCACCTGCCAAGGCCTCAGTTTCTGGTTGGCACCCTCCTGGCATGAGCCAGGATTTCCTGACAGCAGCATCGCTGGTGCTGGCTGAAGGACCACTGTTATCACAGGGACTGTCCTGGGGCCAGGGACACGGGCTACTTCCCCAGCCTCTACCCCAAAGATCCCAGCAGCAGCTCCTGATGTTCCGACAACCAAAGGCCATCTCCTGCCACTGCCAACTACGCCCTGGGGACCAAGGTGCCCCATGAGAACCATTGATCCCACTCTGTGTGGCCTGAGGCCATCTGCTCTTGTCACCAAGCTGAGGGCATCCAGCTCATCACCTTTGGGTGCACACGGGTGGCTCCCCTCTGGACACACCCAAGGCACCGGCATCCATGACATCACTTCTCACGGAGCAGACTCCACTGACGACTCCCCTCTGCTCTGGGTCCCCCGAGACCTCCCAGGGACTCTGTCCTTCTCCTGCCCCTCGCCGTCCACCCATTTTAAGGGGTGTCAGGAATTCTCCAGCGAGCTGCTCGTCAGAACAGCTGACTCCAGGAGCAGCTCCCTGCACGGGCTGTGGAGACGGCCTGGAGACGGCCTGCCTGAGCAGCCCTGGCCGGCGAGCTGCCCGGCATCTCCTGCAAACCTCGCTTCCCAAGAGGCTCTCCAGGGTCTCCAGCTTGGTGTCACACGGGCCTGGCTGCCTCTCTCACTTCTGAGATGGCCAGAGGAGGTGCCCTGGACAGTACTGCAGGTGGCCACCCCTCCAACACCCTCGCCGGGCACCCTGGAAGACCTGCAGTGCCAGGGCTGCCTCACAGCCCGCAGCTCAGTGAGCTCCTTGGTCCTGGTCCACTCCCGACCGCATTTCAACCTCACCCTCCTCCGAGCAGGGCTTTCAGATCAAACGTTCAAGGCCAACACCCCCATCGAGGCAGAGACTACAACAGAGAGACTTGACCTTTTCCCACCGAGCGCACAGTGTGGCTGATTCGGTTACAGAACCTTTGAAAAGGCCAACACAGAAGGGGGCTAGTGTTTATGATGCCTGAGAGACAGAAAGTGAAGCCCCCTGGCACCCAGGTCTCGGTTCTCAGATGGATTTCCCGGGATCAGTGTCAGCTGATCAAACGTCAGTGACTGACAGGTCTCGGGCAGCCTCTTGACACAGCTGGGAGCTGGGCTCCATACAGGGTTACCTGCACACTCGCTTATTTTCCCATCAAACTCCAAGTGTGAGTTCACGCGCACCCGGAAACGCAAACGGGGCCTGGTTCTTGAGAGTACATTGACCAGATACTGGTCACACACACCCATGTGGAACCACAGAAGGCCATGCCCAGCACGGAGAAGGCCACTCTAGGTTTGCAGGAGGAGAGGGCCCCAGGCCAGAAACTCCACAGAGACTGGGAACCAGGGCACCAGCTCGCCCTTCACCCTGGGCGTGTGACGCCTGGACACACTTCCCAGCCTCGCGGGCAGCGGCGCAGGCGGAGCGTCCCTCCTCCTAACTGCTGGGGACCTCGAGGGCTTTGGATTAGGGATTTTTTCAGATTTTTGCTCATCCGTGATGAGACATCTTGGGGAGGAGACCCCAGCTAAAAGGAAGTTGATTTATGTTTCACGTACCCATTGGACACACGGCCTGAAGGTTTCATACGATATTTTTTAAATGATTTTGTGCAAGAAAGAAATCTTTATGGTGTGGGAATTCCACGGGACACCCTGCCAGCACTCCAAAGGGGTGGACTGGGAGCATTTCTTATGGTGGACTTTGGGATCCAGGATGCTATTCCCACCCCCCGTGTGTGTCATCGTTCTCAGAATCCCCATTCAGGTGAACACTCCTGGAGGGCCCACCCAGGACCGTGCTACCCTAACGGGCACCTGAGGGAACCCCCATTTCACAGGGACACCCGGCCGCCAGGCCTGCCGACTGCAGCAGCCACGCTTAGTGAGCACAGGCAGGCACGGGTCCGCGACCAGCCTGGTCTCCCTCCTTGGCCCACATCCACGACCCCCAGCACCTCCCAGAAAGCCAGAGTGCCCGCCAGCCCGACGCCCCAGGACAGCTCAGGGGCTCCAGGCCATCACTCGTCCTGCCCCAGCCCCAGCCTGGCCAGGGAGGGGCGAGTGGCTCAGCACTGTGCTCTAGTGCCACGCGGGCTCGTTGCCAGGGCTGCTCTTGCTATTTCGTGTGCCCCACGCGAGGAAAGAACAAAGGTCTGGGTCCCTGCACCACCAGGCTCCTGCACTACGCCGCAGAGTCCTAGGAGACGGCTCAGCTCTTCACTCACAGGCTGAAAATGCCGGGTGGCACAGCAAGGCCTGGCTCCTGGTGGAACCCAGGTGTGTCTGGGCAGTCAGACGTGGAGTAGACCCTGCGTGACCTCAGAAGAATGTCCGGCAGCACAGGCACCCCTGGCCACAGGCACTGACCAGAAACCAGGGACAACCTGATGTCAGGAGGCTGGCCACATCCTGCAGCCACAGGCTGTGAGCCATGGAGGCCAGCGTCCCTGCCCCTCACCCATGGAGGATTCCGTCGGCAAGCAGCGCGCGGCTCTGTGCCTACCTGAGAAGGGGGCCGTCAGGAGCGGTATTTTGATGGGCGCCAATGTCAGGAAGTGGCAGGGCTGCACGCTGGCGGGGGACGGACCCCGGAGTCCCTCAGGGTCCACGGAGACCATAGCGGCGGCAGCGGCTGCAGCGGCGGCTGCGATGGCGATAGTGGGACTGTTGCTGATCGGCTTAAGGCTGTTATGGCAACCACCTGCAGAAGAGGGACAGGTCAGAATGGGATGTGCATCATCCACGGTGACAGACGCCTGCCGCACCATGTCAGGCACCAGCACCCAAACCCCACACCAGCTCCCTCCAGAGAAAGCCCACACTGTGGGCCTCCCTCCCCAGAGGAAGCACTTGAGGGTGGACTGTGCAACTGCAGGATGTCCAGTGCACTGCAGAGCCCGCGGTCACCCGGGAGAGGAGAAGACCCCTGCACCCTAACAGAAGCAGCCCAGCTGCGATGCACATGGATAGTGCACAACATCAGAGATCGCCACAACAGGCCGGGGCAGGGTGCACCTCTGTGACCCCGGCAACTAGGGATGGCGAGTTCAAGGCCAGCCTGGGCAACTTGGTGAGACCCTGTGTCCAGGTATAAAATCAAAAAGGCTGGGGATGTGGCTCAGTGGTAAAGTGTCCCTGGGCTGATCCTCAGTGCACAACAGGAAGAAAGGAAAGGGAAGCCACGGTGACGAGAGCGTGGTCACTGGAGCCACTCCAGGCCACACACGTGGGGTGGGGAGGGCTTGCTGGAAGGGGCAGCTGTGGGTCAGGGCAGACGGGTGTCCTGAGCTCACAGGACCCAGCCTGTGGCTGCAGGATGCAGCCAGCCTCCTGACATCAGGTTGTCCCTGGTGAGGACTTGGCCACCAAAGGGATCAAGGACAGTTATGCAAGGACTCACAAGACAGGTGAGTGACAAAACAGGCCAGAAAAGCACTTAAATACCTACACCACAGTCACTGACAGGTGCGGCTTGCTCTGGCCCACAGTGCACAGCTGCCTCCAGGCGCGGCCTCCCAGAGGACATGCAGACTACATTTTTCTCACTTCTGTGCCTTCGGTGATAGGTTGATGGGAACAAGGGAGAAGGCAGAGAAAGGGGGTCAAGAGATAGGAAAGTCCTTACGGGGAGGGGCCCAGGGAGGAGCCACTGGCCCCTGGAGGAGAGGGCCACAGACAAACAGCAGGGAGTGCAAAGGCCCTGTGTGTCCAGGAGAATGGGAGGCAGGTGGAGGGGGCAAGGGGAAGGACGTGGGCGATGAGGAAACAGGGCTGGCTGGGGGACAGCAGACAGTGCAGGTGGACGCAGGTGGACACAGGTGTGTGGTGACTTGGTCTGCACTTGGCGTGGGCAGCATGGAGGAATGGGGCATGCAGCAGGGAAGGGCCTGCCCTGACACCGTGTGGATGTCCCAATCTTGTCTGTTTGGGGACGACAGGCAGGGCTCGGTCAGCCCAGGCCCAGGGACAGTGCCTGCCACTCTGCGTCTCAGGGAGCCCTCCACCAGGATGTCAGACGTATTTAAGAAGCTGCCCGGGGGGACTGGGAGTCAGTCTTGGATGTGGACGTAAGCTGGCTCCTCTCCTTCCTGTCTGCCGGGTTTCTGAAGTCCCTGTGACGGGCAGACACGGATTCTAAACCTGAGCTGACTTTTCACCAAGCAGTGTTGGGCTGGAGAAAGACCAGCAGAAGGTGCCGCTCCCTCCTGGGCCACCCCAGGTCCCTGCTGACGCCTTGCTCTGCCATGGTGTGTCTCCACAGGGGAGAGCTCTCGGGGACACACGGTGACTCACTAAGACCCACAGTTTCCTGCAGGATTCGTTGTCCTTGGTGCTGAATGTCCTACGGGTTTTGACAAACGCACACTGACATGTATCTGCCACCCCAGCCTCACCTAGAGTCCTGTGGCCCCAGAAATGCCCACACTGCACTTCCCCCCTCCTCCCACCCCCACAGCCCTGGGCCTGTCCACTGTGGCCTTGTCTTCTCTGAATGCCCTGTGATCAGAACCAAGCCTTGCCCAGCCATACCCACTGGCTTCTGCCCTTGGCCATGTGCACTTAACGTCCCTCCATCCCCCACTGAGCAAGGCGCACGGGAGCTCCCTTCATGTCTCCATTGAGCGACAGCTCATTCCTGGTTATGGCTGAGTAGTATTTCACTCCAAGGACGCAGCAGTTACCCACTCACCCCCTGAAGGACGTCCCCGGAGCTTCCAAGTGTTGGTGACTATGAATAAACTTCTACAACAGCTGTGCCCAGATCCTAATGTGGACATGAGTTTTCAACTCCTCTGGGTAAATACCAAGGAGGGGAATTGCAGCATCACAGAGTAGAGGTAGGTGTGGCTTTGTAAACCACCGACTCCTCCTGAGGGGCTGACTGCTCTGTCCCCAACAGCCACGCAGAGTCCTGCTTGTGACACTTGCTGTCCCCAGTTCTGGACCTCGTCTGTTCCACTGGGGTGTAGTGGATCCCATCATCACCAGGGATCGAAAGAGAACGTAAGCAACACTCAAAACCCTACAGCTTAATAACAGACCACCCCACAGCAGACCCCGTAGATAAGTGTCAACGTCCCCCGGACCCCCCTGAGCACCTGACTGTGCTGCTGTTCTCTGCTGGCACGGCCCCTCTGTGCTGGCACCACATCGCAGTCACACTGCAGGCTGCTTTCCCATGAGATGTCACAGATAGACACCCCCTTTACCACTGAGAGGCCAGCTGCTGCCCAGGGCCCGCTGCTCCTGGGGGTGCAAGTGCCACATGGACCTGCCACACTCACTCACTGCGTCCCAGATGACGCCCAGGCGAGCAGCATGGCAGAGACCACTGGGCCCCAGGTGGACACCTGCGTGTTTCACCCAGGACCAGGCCAGCGGGGAGCCTCTGCAAGCTCTGGGGCCTGCAGCCATCAGTTGAATGACTGACTGGGGGAAAATCTCCACACTTCCAAGTCCCATGTGAGCGTCTCTTATTCCAAGTGGCTTCTCCCTCTCCAAAAGTGCTTTCTCCACTGCTTCTCCTCAGCTGGCTGTAACCACTGGTGCCCTGCCCAGTGCTTCCCGAGACAATGGCAAGGGGAGTCCTCAAGGGCTGCCCAGGAAGAGGTGGCTCAGAGGACCGCCCAGTCCTGAGCTGCTGGAAGCCCCCAGGAAGGGCCAGGGGTGGGAGCAAGAGCAAAGCCCCTCAGGCCCCCTGAGCTGGCCCTTCATCACCCCGGACCCATGTCCTGCCCGGCCCAGAGCCCCAGGCACCAGCCCTAGGGACAGGCCCTGTGTGGACACCTGACTCAGGCCCACAGCAGGACGCATGTGTGGCCCAGCAGTGAGCAGCAGCAGCAGGCCTCTCTTCCTGCCTCTCTGCAGGAGGCTCAGAGCTGCATTGAGGCTGTGGGAGCCTGGGAGGCGCCAGGCCTGGAACCTGGGCTGCAGACAGGGGAGGGGCCGGCAAGGCCCCCACTCACACAAGGAGAGGTTGACGTCTTCATGGCGAATGCAGGTCACCATGCTAAGAGAGCAGCCCGGTGGGATCGGGGTGCAGACTGGGGCCGGAGGGTGCAGCTCCAGTCCAAAACCAGGTGATGTCTGGGGCCTGACCAGGCAATTACAAGGGCTGTGCCTGGCGAGCCGCCAGGACCCCTTTGTCTCCATGCCAGGAGGGGTGCAGGACTGGCACCTGGGGGGCTCCCAGACAGCAGCAGCAGACAGGGCCTGGGGCAGGCTCCCTCCCAGCAGTGCACCCAACAGGGGTGGCACCTTCC